CCCGTAACATCATCTCTCTGATCCCAAAGTTGCTATTGCAGAACCTCCTTGCGTTTACTTAGCAGCTGAATCACCCGAGGACGTTTTTGTTCTGACTCATGCACTGTATATCCATGCACTGTATATCACCTTGGGGAGACATGTATTCAACGCAAAGTACTCAACGCTGTACTCACTCTGACATGACGGTTTCCGTGACGTTGCTACAGCATGTGAACTACCCGCTTTCTGGAAAAAATAAGCGCGGACGTAGAGAGGTCGGTGCGTAAGAGAACCCATCGTCTGTAGCCTTTCTTCTCGGCCCTGTCAGTAAAAGTAGACACAATCCCTTACAAGTCCGACGAAGCCCAAGCTACACCTAATCGATCCGCCCCACTGCCACTACCAATATTGACGTTTCTTCGAAGTATCTCCGACAAGCCCAGGGGCCAGCATCTCTTGGGTTTGCCTGTCAAAATGCTCCTTATCCGCGCTTGAGTGGAGCGTTCGGTCTAGAGTTGCTGTGCTTATTCAAAGTCAAGGGTTTTCATGTGGACTCTACCGAGTACTGCCTTTCTGCTGTCATCGTAACTACAAAGACGCTTTACTTTGGTCTGCCTGAGAATAATGGAAAGATCGACATCGGTTTCTCCAGGCAGCATCATAGTGTGGGGTATCTTTCATTTCTAACGAAGGCTATACACTTGATAAATAGAGAGAATACCAAGATGAATGTAACAGACGGCCAATGATGTGTTATGACCGAGTAACGTTCAGTGAGCTCGTTGCACGACGACTGAGGTGAAGAGTAAGACTGAGGAAGTACAATTGGTCGATTTACTACCGCCCAGGCCGTCTGTTACTGCTCATACGCATTGCCGTCTTACTTGCATCACCCACGTATGTGTTGTCCCCATCCCAATTCCAGCATCTACCTCGATATACCGTTCTATTCCCACAGGCCCAGGGCCATCCCCGGCCCACCAACTACCTCACACTGCTCCCTACTCTCACACATAGGGCCAGCCCCGTTTCTCGCACTATACGCACAGCAAATCCAATCCCCACCACAATAATTCGGGACCCAGAAGCCTGTGGCATTGCAGTACCGGAATCGATCACCGAAATGGTGACATTGAGCCACGCCGGGCAGGCACATGGGGTCAATCTGCCATAGCGCTGTTGTGGACGCTGGTGCCGGAGACGTGGCGGTCGCGTCGGTTGGAGCAACGAATGTAGATGTGTCCATCGCGACTGTTGTTGTTATCGTTGGTATGGTGCAGGCGGATTGCAGGACTGCGGAAGCGGTGTTGAGTGGTAATAGGAGGAGAAGGAGCAGATTGGCCGAGAGTTGATGAGATGGCATTGGGAGAGACATGATCTTGACTTGTTGATTTGAGAGTGGAGACATCGTATAAACTGATGCGTGGGCCGGATGCTTTTGAAGAGTCCTTCAGCTGCTCATGAGTCTGAACTAGTGGTATGTGAGGGGTACAGTGCTCGAAAAGAGCGCATACTCAGGCTATTGATTAGGCCGTGATGGTGTGATATCACATCTTTGAACAAGGTGCCGAACTGTAGGTACCTTGAAATGGCGTACGTGTATGACCCTGTCCCATGCATCAATGGTACACGACCACTCAAGTACCGCGATGCTCATATCTAGGCATTTGGAAACTACCATCGAGGACACCATATAGTATGGACTGCCAGCTGATAGACGGGTGGCAAAGTACCTTGGTACTCCTCGTAGTGTTGGTGTGCGTTTGCTACGAACGGCGTGAAATCGAATGGTACAAGGACGAAGTCACTGGAGCTGACTGTCTGCCTGTTGATCAGACTGCGCTTCTTCCGGCATCCCGCCATCACACATGTGCACTGAAGGTTTGTACAGTCCTAGCTGATAGATGGAAACTCGTTGAGCATGCCGACGATCAAGCTTGCAACACGCCGGCTTCGCGATGCTCTGCGTACCCTCTCACAAAGTCAATTGAGCAGGTATTCGGCCAAATCTCGGTATTGGTAGTTGTGAATCGAGCCGCGAACGACCTCATGCCCTGGCCTAGAGACGGTCCGGAACTCGGCACGTTGGCGGCCCGGGCTGTACAAGCCATCGATACCCCGAGCAGACACTACAGCGCACGCCATAAGATAGATCTGTTCTGGGCTCTCTGTGAGCTTCACAATAGCCATGTTCGGAGCCTGAGACGCGGTGCAACGTAAGAAGCGCAAGGGATATGCAGGAGCTGCTCAGGGTCTGTCAAAGCCTAGGCTTGTCATCGTTGCCGTCTGACATTAGTTGGCCGAATGAGACGCACCGCCGCCCTCAGCTCGCCGTGCTTGCTTTATGTCCTGAGCGGCGGCGTAGCACGAAGCATCTTGTTCTGGAGCGGGCCGGAGCCGTTTCACCATGTTGCAGGCTGATGCGTCGTAGTTCAGAGTAAAAACATTTGATTTTTTTGAGAGCTCGCGCGTTAAGCCCGTAATGCTGTCTACATGTCAGCTGTCGATGCAAGCTTCCTAAGGAGCACGGTCGTGCGGCTTTTGATATCGACGAGGCAGACCAGGTACCCGATATGGGTAGGCCCAGACCGTTGCCAAGGATTCTAGAGATGGGCGCAATGTATAGACAGCAAACATGGATGTCCATGCCGTCATCATCGCGGAGTAGATTCCCGAGAGATCGAGAGTCTTCGTTGGTACAAGGTGTGTTGCGAACGCCTCTGCTGAACATCTGGAGCAATATAGAAACAAATGTGCAGCAAAGGCTTGGAGTAGGCAGACCTTGGGCTGGCCAATGGTCTGGACAGCTCGACGGCTCCGCGGGTAGAGCTTCTAGCGCGGCATGTCAGATGCGTACCATGGTTCATATGCTCTTGACCTCGCCAGCTGTGATGAACCAATAGATGATAGCGCCGCTCAATCAGTGGTGTCAAGACGTCTGCTTAGAGGTGTGATTGGCAAGCGCATTATCTCGACCCGGTGAGTGGGTCGTGGGTGCAGCAAGATCTTGAGGAGTCGTCGTAAAATTTCGACGATGTTCGCCTCACGATCTAGATGCTACCGCCGGCCGGCCGTCGCTTGAAGAATGCCTCTCCACTATCGCAGTTGCGGTGAGAACCAAGACGCCGACGTTTACTGGAAAAGTCCTAGCAACGTGATGTAGCGGGTACTGGCAGCTTTCATGGTTTGTGGCTGCTCCTTCTGCAGCCCTGGAGTGGTCCGGTGCAGCTAGCGCCGGAAAATTGGATAGCCGCATGCCAGGCGTCGCACATGTCCACAGCACTCGTTGGATGGCAGCTTGGTAGCGACGAGTGTTCACGGGTAATGGTGGTGTAGGTGAGGCCAAAAGGGAAGATAAAAGAAAGAAGGGCATGAATGCTGACATGGCCTGAGCCCCAGCTAGAGAAGCTGATCAGCACACGGTGCACATCATTACTCGCATGGGAGGACGCCGTTCACGATGTCGTGTCGATCATGTTCTGATTAGTTGATGCATGCTTGGTGCGACGGGTTCCCAAACAGGAGCCCACCCACGGGTCTGGAGAAGTCACGACGTGAGGCAGACACCATGTAACGTTACTCTGACCTCAGGCCTCTCGAGGCCTTTGGACGTTGGCGGAAGTCGAGCCAGCAGACGGAAGCTGTGAAGTGAATACGGACAGCGGAAGGACAGCGGCTGATTCGTCAGACAAAGATGGTTTGTCCCTAGCGCAGGGAATAAGGGCAGCAAAAGGCCGAGCATGCAGCCTGAGGCCTGGGCTTGAGAGATGACACGTTACTGTTTGCTCGAGGGCCGAGAGTCTGGGCGACATGCAGAGGGGCGGCGTCACAGAGTGAAGCAGAGGCCGCAGCAACGGTGTCGAAAAAGAGGGCAGTGTCGGGCCAGGCGACTGGTGGGCGGGTGTCGGAGCTGCGTGAGGGCAGAGATGGACGACGCGAGCACGAGCAGACAGCTGGGCAGCAGAACAAAGGGCGCTAGCTTCCGTTTCGGCCGATCGTCGATCTGGCGCCATTAAGCGGCGGCGCTAAGCCCGGTGCGGCGCTGTCCATCTGCAAACACTGTGCTGCACGACGGCAGTGCGGCTTCATGGGGAATGCGAGGGCAGCAAACGGGCGCGGTGCGCTGCGTGGGAGCGGGAGCCGCTGACGTCAGGCTGGACCAAGGCTGGAGGGCGCCGACGTGGGTGGGCGCCGCGGCGTGGCAGCTGTTGAGCAGCAGACAGGCAGCTTCGGGGCGCCACAATAAAGCATGCTGGCCATGGACTTGCGGATGGGCAAAAAGAAAAGACGACGGCGAAAGGGTAATGTGCATGTTGGGGCGGGCGACTGTAATCGTCATGGCGTAGGGCCAGGCGTGAGCGTCGGCGGCGACTGTGCGGGCGAGGTTTGCATAGGGGCCGAAGCGGAGGGGCTACTGGGGTAGCGCTGGGAATCGTGCAGGAGCGACCGGCAGCCGAGCGCGTCTAGACTGTTCCAGCAGGCGCGGCCCACCGAGCGTGCTGACCAAAGCCGCCAGGGTCCCTCGACGCTCAAACTCTGCCCCAGCGTCCAAGGCCAGCTCGCAGCACGGCGAGCCTCACGGCGAGACAGCAGCAGCGGTCGGGGCCCGCTGTCCTCTTGAAGCGCGCCAGGCAGCCAGCAGAGCCACCACCAAAACGAGCGGCGGGCCTGGAGGGTGAGGGTGCAAGGTGCCAGGCGCGAGGTGCAAGGACGCGCAAAGCCACGGCTCCGGGACAGGTTCTAGATCGTCCACCAGCCCTTGTGTGCGACTCTAGCAAAAGACCAACCATATCGCTGACTGCCCGCCGTGCCTGCCATTCCTCGCATTCCTTCTCTCAGTCCCGCACATCACGCCTTCCTCGCCCTTCCCACCCACGTTACTAATCCGCTTCTGCATGTGTTTCCGCCTGCCTTGGTCGCCTCTGCATATCCTCCCTCCAGCTGCCCACCTCGTCTGACCCAGACCCCTGTGCCCATCCTGGACCCCCGTGCCGACTGCCCGCATGGAAGTCTGAACGATGGAGGGACCTACTACCATCCCACCTGATATAATCGAGCGTCAGTCGCTCTGCTTCTCCCGCCCCATGCCTGGCATGGTCGTACAGCAAGGCGAGAACGGCTTCAGAGAGGGACTGTCCCAGCTCTACGTGCCGGCAGAGAGCAACGCCGCCGAGCAGCTCGTCAAACTCAAGGATGCCCTCCGCAAGGCTGATACCGACAGCTTCTGGATCCAGCTCACCCAAGGCCTGGCCAAGATTGCCGACGCCCAGTACGCTTTCGTCTCCAAGCGCATCCTCGTCGACGACAAGAATGTTGCCGTCGAACTGCCACCCATCGGCGAGCCTGGAGCCTGCCTCATGGGCGAGGCTTTCTACATCAACGACGACCATGGCAACGGACCCGGCCACCTGAGAAACTTCAAGTACCATGCCTACCAGTGTCCGTGTGCCTACATGAAGCACGACAAAGTCTTCATCATCCCCGAAAGACTAAACGACTTTATTCTCGACAATCCAAACGACCTCATCATCCCGGGCGAGGCCTACCTCGGAATCCCCTTGTTTGCGGAAGGAAAGTGCTTCGCCCACTTTGGTGTCATGTGGGGTAAAGAGGGGGCTGCTCGGCGCGTGTTGAGCTGGGGATTTCTTGAGATGCTGTTCCATAGCCTGGAAGACATGATCCTAGAGCGCGTCTTGGAAGGCAACGATTTTGCAGAGGCTGCTGAACCAATCCGAGCTCAGATACCCAGGATCGTGCCCCACAGAGCCGTCTCAGTTGCCCAGTCATTGAAGCCTTACGCCCGGAGTCTATCCCATGAGTTGAGGACGCCGATGCAGGGTGTCGTTGGTATGCTAGACGTCATGATGGCAAACGTAAAAGAAGCATCAGAATCCCTGCAACTTGAATCGCGGACCCGTGAGATACTCGACACACTCAGGGAGAACATTGAGGCGGTCCAAGGTGTGTAACAATCCTGCAAAACCATTGCTTAATCCTCCTGGGAAACACCAATCCAGCATCGAGTCTTGAACCGAGCCATGCTAACTACGTATCAGACAGCTCAAGACGCGCAGTCGAAGCAGCCGACAATGTTGTCCACGCCTATGACATGAACATGGGCGTACCAGAGACCCCACTTTCGCCACTAGACAAGACGCCCGACCAGTGGAACACCTTCTGGCGCGAGATGCGGCCGGATCTGATGATTACCGGCAACGACATGCGCGCTCCGCTACGCGGCATCAAAAGAAGACGACACGAAGTTTCCTGGGCAGACCATGCTAACAAGACACGCGTGGTCAAGAGTGCCCGCCAACGAGTTCGAGACACCTTTTCAGAGGAGCCTCCCATGCGCGGCACCAAGTCCTGTCCTCCAGACGCAAGCGCTCTGGAACTGGACCGACTAGACCACACCTGCTCACACGGAACATCGTTGGGCAAGTGTGACTCCACCACCTCGCCAATCTTCGCATCCGAACACTCCAAGGTCCCTGGACTGCGACACACCAACCTGCGAGAAGTCCTTCAGTACGTTATCAACGATGCGCTCAAAGTAGGAGGACGACCGGATTCCGCCATCGCCGAGGCCACGGATACGGGAGAGCGCATTGAAGTTCGGACGCGTAGCTCGAATGGAGAGGCACACACCAAATGGATCGAGTGGACTGTTTCCGCCGATGTGCCAGAGACAATCGTCATTGACGAACGGGACCTTGCTAAGATGGTCTCTTGCCTTGCTCTCAACGCTATCAAGTTTACACAGGACGGATCCATCACACTCCAAGCGACACTCAGCGCAAAAGGTCGCTACATCGTCATCAACATCAAGGACACGGGCTCCGGCATCCCGGCGGCGTTTCTGCCTAACCTGTTCAAGCCGTTTTCAAGAGAAGACGACTCCATGACACGGCAGAGTGAGGGGCTGGGCCTTGGTCTCATGGTCGCGAAGGGTATTGCGAGGAAGCTCGGTGGCGATCTCTTCTGCCTGCGTTCACATGTGTCGGGACCCGGAAGAGGATCAGAATTTGAGATGCGAGTCCCGCTTACCCCAGGCGAAATATGCAGTCGCCCTGCAACACCATTTGGGTCCCCCACCCTGTCCATCAAGTCTCGCATGTCTATCGATCCCGAGGTACCTCGTCTGGACCTTGGCCGGGGCCCAGTCACCCCTCCGCTGAGTTCTGATGCATTCAGACACGAGCGGGAACGTCGGCCACCAATCACACCTGTCATCACCGCCCCCTCTGCAAGATCGCCAGATGACATTGGCCTTGCTACTCCCCGCCGCACTTCATCGCCCCCACGGCAACACTCTACTCGCGCTCTATCTCTGGAGCGGGACGTCGTGCCAACCGATCTCGGCGAACAGCTGCCCCTCAACATTCTGGTCGTGGATGACAACGCTATCAACCGACGCGTCTTGGTGAGCATGCTCGGCAGGCTGGGCTACAAGAACATTACCACGGCATTCAACGGTAACGACGCCGTCGAAACTGTTCGTCGCAATGCGCTCGCGCCGGCTTCTGAAGCATTTGATGTCGTCCTCATGGACCTGTGGATGCCGCTGCTGGACGGCTTCCAAGCTACCGAGGTGATTCTGAAGATGCCCGAGCTCGTGCGAAAGCCGACCATCCTGGCCGTCAGCGCCGACATTACGGATGCCGCTCTGGACAAAGCAGTCAAGAGCGGGATGAAGGGCTTTGTCACCAAGCCCTTCATCACCCGAGACATTGCCCGATTGATTCGGACATACTGCGCAAGCCAATGAGCTTGCACTTTCTACTTCTCCCACGGCGCTATGGCTGCCTGGGTTTATTCACGATACATAGATTATAGTCGTACACGATACAGGTGATGATGCTAGAGAGCGGGCATGACTGGATCGGACTGGGTACATGATGATGACGATAGCATTTGACCGGGCCTTTGAAGGCTTTTTGCGGCGTTTAGCGAGCGGGATACCTTTGGTAGGCCATAATACCCTTTGATGAATTGTGCATGTTGGGACGACTGGAACATGGGCTGCAGTAGCATACGCGGGCTACTATATAACGAAACGTTTACCATATGATTCGACTCGTTGCTTCCTTTGCGAGTGACACTGCAGTGCTGGCAACGTGAGCTCTGCTAAGACGCGGATTGCCGAGCTCGACCCGCAGGCACGGCAGTCTTGCCCCGGTGAGCTGCAGTCATGATGTCCAAGGTGGGGAGCTCGAGCCGCGGGGCATGGCCGAACATGGCACCTGGCCTCGGAATCTGGCCGCGCCCCAAGCCTTGCAGAGTCGCTGCGAACGGCGACTCTCACCAGCCACATTCCGCTCGAGGTGCAGTCGGACGGGTGCGCGAATGGCAACGAGGTGCGCGAAACGTGTTGGCGGGCGAAGGGTGGCTGGAGAGGCTGCAAGCGGACTAGTGCTGTGGCGCATGCGGGTCGATTTTAGAGGACAGATTTCTTGGGACGCGCCGAAGTCGAGACAAGAGCTGTTGCGCCGCCAGTACAGCCGTTGCTGCCGTGGACAATCGCAGAACCTTCCATCCTCTTCTCCTGTGACGCTGCTTGTGCCAGGAAACACGGTCCCTCCCTTGCCGCTCCCAGTACTAAGGCGGACGTTGTCCCAGTGCATCTCAACGTCATAGGCAAAGACCACACACTTCGCGAGCCGAACTATCTCTGAGACCACCACCACCACCGCGCCACGCGGACCATCCAACAGCGAGAGCACCGAGAGACGCAGACGCGGCACCGAGAGCAGTGGGCATGGAGAATGCGTACACCAAGACGCCTGCCGAGGCGCTGAGGCAGTTCCAGGTCGAGGAGCAACAGGGCCTCAGCGCCCAGCAGGTGCAGAGCGCACGGGAGAAGCATGGCAAGAACGGTATGTCAGCGCCGTCGCAGAGGCCGCCCACCACTAACACGCGGGACAGCGCTGCCAGAAGACCCGCCGACACCCATCTGGGAGCTCATCCTGGAGCAGTTCAAGGACCAGCTGGTCATCATCTTGCTAGGCTCGGCAGCAGTGTCGTTCGTACTTGCCCTCTTTGAAGAGGACGAAGGCTGGACCGCTTTCGTCGACCCGGCAGTCGTACGTACTAGACCAGACTCTGCCTGCACTGCGCTGACAGGCCCCATAGATTCTCACCATCCTCGTCCTCAACGCCGTCGTCGGAGTATCGCAGGAAACCAGCGCCGAAAAGGCCATTGCGGCTCTGCAAGAATACTCCGCCAACGAAGCCAAGGTCGTGCGCGACGGCCACGTCAAACGCGTCAAGGCCGACGAGCTGGTCCCTGGAGATGTCATCTCCGTTACAATCGGCGACAGGATACCCGCCGACTGCAGGATCTTGTCTATCCAGAGCAACAGCTTCAACATCGACCAGTCCATCTTGACCGGAGAGAGCGAGAGCGTGTCCAAGGACACCCGGGCCGTCAAAGATGAGAGCGCCGTCAAGCAGGACCAAGTCAACATGCTCTTCTCGGGTACCACGGTCGTCACGGGCCATGCGACTGCGCTGGTCGCCCTGACAGGCGCCAACACCGCAATTGGAGACATCCATGAGAGCATCACGGCACAGATCTCGCAGCCCACACCCCTCAAGGAGAAGCTCAACGACTTCGGCGACCAGCTCGCAAAGGTCATCACGGCCATCTGCATCCTCGTCTGGCTCATCAACATCCGCAACTTCAACGACCCCTCGCATGGCAGCTTCACCAAGGGCGCCATTTACTACCTCAAGATTGCCGTCTCGCTCGGTGTCGCCGCCATCCCCGAGGGTCTGGCCGTCGTCATCACAACCTGCTTGGCCCTGGGCACGCGCAAGATGGCTGCGAGGAACGCCGTCGTGCGGAGCTTGCCTTCTGTCGAGACTCTCGGCAGCTGCAGCGTCATCTGCTCCGACAAGACTGGCACCCTCACCACCAACCAGATGAGCGTCAACAAGATGGTCTTCCTCAACGAACAGGGCAGCGGCCTTGAAGAGTTTGACGTCCAAGGTACTAGCTTTGCGCCCGAGGGCCAGATCTCACTTCGTGGCAATCCTCTCGAGAACCTCGCGGCGCAATCCGACACTGTCCGCCAGATCTGTGAAGTCACGGCGCTTTGTAACGATGCCGCCCTTGCCTACGACTCCAAGAATGGCACGTATAACCTCGTCGGTGAGCCTACTGAGGGTGCCCTTCGTGTCCTAGTAGAAAAGGTTGGCACTCCCGACATTGCCCACAATGCCACGCGCGCCAGCACCTCGCCTGAAGGACGCCTCGATTTCGCCACCAAGCACTACGAGAGCCAGTATTCCCGCCTAGCAACCTACGAATTCTCCCGCGACCGTAAGAGCATGTCTGTCCTTGTAAAGAAGGGCAACTCGCAGAAGCTTCTCGTAAAGGGCGCCCCCGAGTCAATTCTTGATCGTTGCACCAATGTCGTCGTTGGCAAGAACGGCAAGAAGATACCAATGAGCAAGCAGCTGGCCAGTCTTATCAACAAGGAGATTGTCGAGTACGGCAATCGCGGTCTGCGTGTCATTGCTGTGGCGTCTGTTGAAGACGTTGAATCGAACCCGCTTCTGGCGAAGGCGAAGACGACCAAGGAGTACACTCAGCTAGAGCAGAAGATGACTCTCATCGGTCTCGTCGGCATGCTGGATCCTCCTCGTCCTGAAGTCCGCGCCTCCATCGCCAAGTGCCGCTCTGCTGGTATCCGCGTCGTGGTCATCACCGGGGACAACCAAAACACTGCCGAGTCCATCTGCCGTCAGATTGGCGTCTTCGGACCCAACGAGGATCTTACTGGCAAGTCTTTTACTGGTCGCCAATTCGATGATCTCTCCGAATCTGAAAAGATGGAAGCCGCTAAGCACGCAAGCCTCTTCTCCCGCACTGAGCCAACGCACAAGTCCAAACTCGTCGACCTCCTCCAGCAAGCCGGTGAGGTGGTCGCTATGACTGGTGACGGTGTGAACGATGCTCCCGCACTCAAGAAAGCTGACATTGGTGTTGCCATGGGCTCCGGAACCGACGTAGCCAAGCTCGCCGCTGATATGGTCCTTGTAGATGACAATTTCGCTACCATCGAAGGCGCCGTCGAAGAAGGCCGCTCTATCTACAACAACACTCAGCAGTTCATTCGCTACCTCATTTCGTCCAACATTGGAGAAGTCGTGTCGATCTTCCTGACTGCCGCTATGGGTATGCCTGAAGCTTTGATTCCTGTCCAACTCCTCTGGGTCAATCTCGTTACCGACGGTCTCCCCGCCACCGCTCTCTCCTTCAACCCTCCGGACCACGATGTGATGAAGCGCCAGCCCCGTAAGCGCGACGAGCCTCTCATCAGCGGCTGGTTGTTCTTCCGTTACATGGTTATTGGTACCTATGTCGGTGCCGCAACTGTCGGTGGCTATGCGTGGTGGTTCATGTTCAATAGCGACGGTCCTCAAATCTCGTTCTACCAGCTCCGCCACTTCCACCGCTGCTCTACCCAGTTCCCTGAGATCGGCTGCGAAATGTTTAGCAACTCGTCTGCCCAGGCTGCGTCAACCGTCAGCTTGAGCATCCTGGTCGTAATCGAGATGCTCAATGCCATGAACGCTTTGAGCAGCTCAGAGAGTCTGCTGACACTGCCGCTCTGGGAAAATATGATGCTCGTCTATGCCATCTGTTTGAGCATGGCCTTGCACTTTGCTCTCCTCTACATTCCGTTCTTGCAGGGACTCTTCAGTGTCATCCCGCTAGACGGCAACGAGTGGAAGGCGGTCATGGCCATTAGTGCGCCTATCATGTAAGTCATCCTCACAGTCTGTTAGAATCAACGAAAGAGCAAGGCTAACATGAAATCAGCATCATCGACGAAGGTCTCAAATTCCTCGAGCGCAAGTTCTTTATCCAAAAGGGTAACGAGAAGTTGGAGCTTGTCGAACAGCAAAACGGCCGGGCGAAGAAGGACTAGGTGTCTTCTTCCTCTTCTTCCTCTTCTTCTCCCTCTCACTCGCTGAGACGGGTCAGTGGACGGTCACATCTCCGCTCTGATCTGGTCAAGGAACGCGTAATATAGTCACCCTGCATATAGAAGCAAGAAATCGGGGAGTAGGTGTTTTAAGAGATAGCGAGGAAGGGATGTCTTGATACCTCTTGCATGAGACTAGGAGTTTTTGCTTCGTTCAGTGACGAGTGGTAGACGTAGATGCGAGCAGTATGAATAGAGCAACAGTCACGCCACAGCGAAGCGAGTATACGTGCCTTGTATGTTCATTATGAGTATCGTACAAGAAAGACGTGCAATAGAGAGGCATCATCGGTTCATGTCTGGACGACCGACAGTGCAGTCTTGCCGTGCGGAATATCTTCATCGGCTGGCGTATGAAAACCGTAAGTAACAGTCTGCAAAGCTCCTGCGAAGCCCAAGTAGCCTTCGACAGGCAAGCCCAACTCTTACCCCAGGATTCCCCCAACGCGAAGACCTCATTAACTCTCCACTCGTCCTCCGACAATGCATGTTGCGTATAGCTCACACCCACCAATCACCGACTCGATCCATCAACCTCACGCTTCTCCTTAGCGCCCATCATACTTTGCAGTCAGCCTCCTACCCTCCTTCTCCACCTCATCGACCTCGGGCTCCCAATCGACTGCCTTCTCGTGCACACCAAGGAACTCCCAGATACCCTGTCCCGCCTTGATCTTAGCCTGCTTACCCTTCTTGGTCGCCTTCTTCTCCGCAACCGTCTTACCCGTAGTCAAAAGGTGCATGTCAACCCTGAGCTTCAAGTATCCATTCC